CGAAGAAGGACAGCGAGAACGGCGACGACGACGACGACGACGATGCTGGCGCCGACCTGGAGCGCGATTACGGGGAGGACGACGACGTATTCGCGCCAATCAGGACAACCACGACGGTGGAAAAAAGAGAGTCGCTTCCGGTACGGCTGAGTTCGGCTCCCGCGACGACGACCGCGATGAGCTCCACGCCGATCCGCGCCGATTCAGTCCAGTCTTTACCCAGAGAACGCGAGATCGTCTCGGAGACGACGACTCCGCCTCCCACGTTGGAGAAGTCCGTCAGGAAATCTTTGAGTACGGCGGAAGGTCGCGACGCTCTGAATAGCCAACTAGGACCGTTAGGGCGGGAATACTTGGGTGCTCTTCTGGGCGGCGACAAAAACAAGGAGATCGACACCGTTTACGGAGTGCATTTCGGCGAGAACGGCACGATGTTGTGTAACAAGCGATTCAAGCTGAACGCGGATGACTCCATGGTCATCGACGGTGTACGGTACAAAGGCTCGCGCGGCCTGTACGAGTTCATCTTCATGGGAAAACCCGACGCTAAAATCTATACGGAGAAGGACAAACTAACGTACAGGAGTATACTTTTCTCCACCAGCGCTCACAAACGCGGCAGCAAAGCCGACAATCCCGTTAAGGGCAACAAGAGACCGAAGTACATAAATATAATAGCGCCGCTCGTAAACCTGTCTTACAGAGTTGGAACTACGAAGGGTGCCGGGCTACCGTCGGCCATGCGACTGACCGACAACGCTATCGATTACGTTCACTGGGACGATCCCAACGAGCTGGTCGATAGACTTCGACTGCTGGACGCCTCTCGTCGGGCCGGCAACGACGCTCACGACAACGAAATCCTGCCGATAATCGAGGAACTTCGCGAGGCCGGCTTCGTCATAAATTGATCGGTCGCGTCGGTCGCGACGGCAGTGCGAATCGCGCGCCCGCCAGCGCGATGTCCGTGAACAAATTCGGCATGTCTCTGACGAATCGGGGCAGCGGTGACAGAGTCGACGGTGCGTCCACGGTGAAATTGCACTCCTCGATCGAGTCCCTGCGCAATTACGCGCGCAACAACGCGCTCTTCATGAGCGAGGATTTTTACGACGCGAGGGAACGCAAAATACGAAGAGTAGCCGCGCCGGAGATCGACACCGACGCGACGAACAGGAGTTACGTCGAGGACGCGATCGGACGATCGAAGAAAAGCGCGACCGAAAAATTGAACGGTAGAATAACAGCGGTGGAGATAATAACGAAGTTGAGGGACGCAGCGCTCCTTATTTGTTTAAACTCTTACGAAGCGGATCAGCACAAGATACGACACGTAGCCGCGCCGGAAATTGGCACCGACGCGGCGAACAAGACCTACGTAGATGGCGCGATCGAACGGCTCAAGAAAGTCGTGACCGGTGAGATCGAGAAGAAAAACAGGACCAAAGAATTGAGAAGCGGAATCGCGACGCTGAAGAACGACGCGCTCCGTTTGGACGAGGAATCCTACGACGCGAGGAAGCGCAGGATACGGCGCGTAGCCTCGCCGGAAATCGGCACCGACGCGACGAACAGGAGCTACGTAGAGGGCGCGATCGGGGAGCTCAAAAGCATTTTAATCGAAGAGATCAAGAATAACAACGCGATCAGAGAATTGGGAGGCGGAATCGCGACGCTGGAAAACGTCGCTCCGTTTGAACGCTCAGGATTCCTACGACGCGTCGGAGCGCAAAATACGACGCGTAGCCGCGCCGCAGGTCGGCGTCGACGCGGCCAACAGGAGCTTCGTCGAGGGAGCGATCGCGGAACTCGAAAAGACTTTGAGTGACGCGATAAAAGAATGTAAAGACCAGTACGTTACTGTGAAAAATACCATAGATAAGCACGAGGTTGAAATCATCGCAATCAAGACTGTTTTAAAGCTTCTCAAACAAAATGAGCGTGGAAAAACGTAGACTCGTGGAAGAACTGCACGCGCCGGCGCGAAAAAACTTTCCTCGCCGCCGCGTCGTGGTGCGCGGTTACGACGACCTGTGGCAGGCCGACGTGGTCGAGATGCGCCCTCATTCGCGCGCAAACGCGGGTCACAATTGCATTCTGACGGTCATCGATGTGCTGAGCAAGTACGCCTGGGCAATCCCGCTCAAGAGCAAGAACGGAAAGAAGGTCGTGACGGCTCTCCGAAAGATCTTTCACGAGGATGCGCGACACCCCAGGAATCTGCAAACGGACAAAGGAAAGGAATTTTAAAACGCCGACGTGCGCAAAATCCTCGACGAGCACGAGGTGAATCACTACTCCACGTATTCGGTCATGAAAGCGTCGGTGGTGGAGAGATTCAATCGCACGCTGAAAAACGACATGTGGAAGCTCTTCACGCTCCAGGGATCGTACAGATGGATAGACTCGTTACCGCGCCTCTTGTCAAATTACAATCGTCGCAGACACAGAACGATCCAAATGCGTCCGGCGGACGTGACGCCCACCGTCGCCGAAAAACTGCTGCGCACGGTGTACAGTCGCGCGAAGATAGCCGCGCCGGCGAGATTTCGAGTCGACGATCCGGTGCGCGTGAGCAAAGTCAAAACGATCTTCAAAAAAGGCTACACTCCCAATTGGATCACCGAGATCTTTCGCATAGCCAAAGTACAAAGGACCAATTCCGTTACGTATCTGCTGAAAGACGTTCGCAGAGAAGCGATAGCCGGAGGATTCTACGAACACGAGTTGCTACGCGTCTCCAATCCCGACGTCTATCTCGTGGAAAAAGTCCTGCGTAAGCGCGGCAAACGAGCGTTCGTGAAGTGGCTGGGGATGGACAGTTCGCACAATTCGTGGATAGATAAGGCGTCTGTATTGTAAAGAGAAATACTTAGACATTCGTAGACACGCGCAACGCGTACTTTATTGTTAATAAAAGTTTACACATTTTGTGCGCGAATGGGCTTAGGATTTAGAGTTCAAAGGTTAATGAGA